CAACAGAAGCACTGAAGACAAATGTGTCCAGACATTCTGAGCAGACGAAATTCTGCTAAAACGACTCAGTTTAAGAAACAAAAATCACTAAGCCAATTAGCCTCCATCTCTGATGGAGAGAGTGACGAAAAACGATTACAGACCTGGGAACACGAATACTTGGGCCTGATTTGTCCGATGATTTCTTACTCTGCTTCTGCTGCTCCGGCAGGGATCTCTCCTGTCTGGGGCGTCCAGCTGTGCCCCAAGATGCAGGTGAGCTTGGCCCCGATTCAGGTGGCTGTCAACATTGTGCAATGATTTCTCTCCGGTCGAAGGCAATCACGGAGGCTGACATGGCAATTAGACTGCAACAAAAGGGGTCGGGGGCAGCTGACCACTTCTGCCTATTAGTTATTGAAATCAGCTGTCAGAAAGTTCCGAAAATTGCACAAGTCCCAACTGATGACTGGAATGGCATAAATGCCACAACACTGACACTCACTGAAAGAAATCAAGGAAATGTCGAGGAAAACTTTGCCACGTCTGAATGAGAATCGAAGTTTCCGATGCCATTTCCCACATGCAAAATTGATATTCAATGGGCTTTGGCGAGTGTAGAATAGCTAAGGAGAGCAGATCCCTCGACAGCCACTCACAAAAATGGCCGACGTGACCATGGTAACCTGTTTCACACAGACACATGCACACTAAGGTGGACCGAAAAGCGGAGTGCCCATTTTGTAGTTCAACCTATTTTACATTTTTTTTACCAATTTGGTTCCTCAATATATATACCATTTGGAATTTATAAACTATATTTTCAGCGAAGCAAAGAGCATCTTGTAAAATAATAGGGTATTAACAAAAATTTTAAAACTTCTGAGAACCACCCTAATGCGGACTTATGTATTCAAATGGACAGACACATATGCAAAGGACACGGGTTTCTGGGGAACGGTTGATTTGATTGCCGAGCGAGGAGAAATAAGAGTGGGGCGAAACCGAAAGACCTCGAGTTTTGAGCTCAGCTGCTGCAGAAAGTTTGCACAATGCAAGCTGCCCAACTCCCCCCGCTCAAGTGTGAATTCATGTAAATGTGTGCGAGTCCTGTGCCACATTTGTTTGCTCTGTTTATAATTCAATTGTAAATGCATTTCAATTACGTGCACATTAAACAGGGCCAGCACAGACAAAGTTTTCGGTGTCGAGCCAAGGACTCCGACTTGACCACTGGGCCAGGCGAGGCCAAGACCAGGGCCAGGGCCATTATCACGGCCATTGCTGGCCGGAGTCTGAGCCGGAGCCAACTTAGCGAGCGGAACACGCTCCGCATTTAAGGACAATTGGTCCATTATGGCAACGCGTTGAAACGGCAAAATAAAAGTGGGCAAGAAACAAAGAGTGCGATGGGAGGAAAACAGACGAGGGACCAGGGACGGGGGATGGGGGATGGGATGCATCCGGGATAACAATGCCATTAACAACTACTACAAATGGCTCTTAAAGGTGCAATGTGTGAACGAATGCCCACGAATGAGCAGCCAAGAGTTGGCTGGGGGCAGGAAAATAAGAAGCAAATGCAATGATTTGCAAGTGAAGTTTTACCGCAGATAAAGCAATAATGAATGCAGTTCTCGAAAAGTTTGATAAAGTGCTAAGCAGCAATTGAAAGCAAAGTTCTGTAGATAAAGTAGAACAATATGAAATACTTATATCAACATTCTGATGTGGAGGTAGAAAGGAGCAGTTTATATATATTGGCAAATTAAATTTGACTATAATTTAAAAAATAGATATTTAAAAATGCCAAAAGTGACTAAAAGTTAGCTTTATAAGAACATTTTCGGTCTAGTACTTATTATTGCAGTTTTCGTTCAACAACAGTCTCTCAATACACCCCGATTAAATTGGATCCGTCCACATCTGCAGCATTGTTAACAAGGCTTAATTGAATGTGAACCGGGCCAAAAAGTCGCAACGACCCCCAACCCTTGGATCATCGGCAGGGGGCCCAAGCCACCCCATTGCGTTGAGAACAGTGAAAACCTGCCCAGTCAGAGGTTAAACGACCTTTGGAGTGCACTTAACCAGCCAGCAAGGCTCAGCCGAGCGTTCCGTTCGGTTCCGTTCGAGGCTGTGTTGGTATATCTGTGTGTGTCCTGCGTCCTGCAACCCTCGCAAGTTTTTTGGGCCGTAACCAAAGCCACTCTAATGAGTCGTCCAAGTCCGAGCTCCAGTCCCGCCGCATTCACAATTAGCCTCGAGTCCTTCTGCCCTGCAGCAGTCACTAAAGTGTAACCTGTATTCTTGACCACACTCACTGCCCACCCCTCCCCATACCTCCCTGCCCCGGCCCCACCTTGCCCACAACATCGTCATCGTCTTTGGCAATTAAGCCTTGGCCGACCGTTGACCACGGCAAATGACCGCAGCCAGTTTGCTTTCATTAATTTTTGGTTGTAATCCTTGCTGAAGCTTTTCATTTCATTTTAGTTTTCGCCTCGCAGTTGTTGTTTTACTGGCTACGACCCGGCTCTTTCCGGACGCTTCCTCGTCATCCTTGTCGTGCGTGTGCATAGTTCGGTGCACACTTTTTCACACTTGGTTCATACCTACCCTGATGGGGATGCCCAGCACCAGGAAGAGTTGTCTGGGTTGTGGGGGAAGAGTGAGGACGTCCGGGAAATCTTCAAAGCCAATTAGTTCTTCTATAATCTCCGTTCTTAGCCAGGAGCTAAAACACTTTGAGAGCTTAAGTTATAAAGGTATTATTTCGTAATTTAAAGGTATTTTTCATTAAAGTATGTCATTGTTTCATCACTGATGTTGAACATAAAAAATAAACAACTGCATTATAAAATTTAGAAGCTTATGATAGGAGTTTACTACTACCTTCTGTTTCAGACTTCTTCTATTTGCTTCATCCCACAAATCGAAATCAGAGATCTTTTTTGTAGAAGGGGCAAAGTTTCCTAGTTACGCATTTATTACTATTTTAATATCCCCCATTGTCATCGCAATAGCTTTGACCACTCAACCGTAGGTGGCACTTTGATCAACTCTCATCAGCCCTCAATGCTCTGCCATTGTTTTGCCGCCTTTGCCATCCAAATCCCTTTCAGCCCGCAAATTAAACAATTTACAGGTCACTCCGGAGTCCGGAGGCAGCGATGACCCGGCTACGGCCTCTTTTTTCTTTGTTGCCGGGGACTGACCGTTGAGTTTTTTGCCACAGTGGTCGTGTTTTTACATCTGGGCCATGTCCAGGCCCAGTCAGCTTCGGTAGCCTCAGCGTTAATGACTTTTGTGCTGCGCCCCTTCTGTCTCCGTCGCCTGGCCAAATGTTTTAAAACTGGCCAGCACTTTTTGCTGCCGCTGCTCTGCTGCTGTGCTGCTGTTATTGTGGGTTGTTGTTACTGGCGATTGCCGGGCGGTTAGTCCGCCGCGTTTGCTACCGCCCGCAGTGTTTGCCAGGACAACCAGAACAACCGACTCATTTGTACAGGTTTTTTACACACTCCGCCTCGTTCGGGGCTGCGGAAGGGGGAAAGGGAATTGTTAATTAAAGTATTGTCTCCTCGTTGCTGGCAAAATGAACAAGTAGAAACAAGGACCTGGCCCCACTAGTCCTGCTGCTCTGCTCGTCCTGGGCCGTCAATTGTCGAACATGGTACTCTACAGTTCCACTTAACAGCTACAATGGGCACTTTGCCACAATGAATTCAAATGGATGCCCCCGACGTTCGTTTTTTTTTTTTCACTGCACCACACACCCACACACACACACACCCTGTGCCGCCCAGAGTGCTACATGTGTTGTTATTGTTGTTTCTGCTGTGTCGCTGCACACACACGTGGACATGACGTGCACACAATGACAGCTGACTGTTGGCTTCCAAAAGCCCCCGAGGCCATGGCAGTCCACAAACGAGAGCTCGTAGGACGGGGTCAGAGGTGAATCGGGAGGAGCTGGGAGGACGGAGTCGGAGTCGGAGTTGGAGGACTCATAGAGGAGGCCGTGATTCTTTAATGGCTGCTTTAATTTTCGGGTTTACCAATTAAAACTACGTGGCAAATGAAAAATACATGCAGTACGGAACCTGCATAATACAAAAGCGAGAGAGCTCCCTGGAGGGAACCCCCAGAAAGGCTCGAGGAAATGGGAAATGGAAAATGGGAAATGGGAAAATTTCGTTGAGCTAGACGAATGTTTGGGGGCACCCACTTGAAGTGTAAATTGGTTGCCCAAAGATGCAATTGCGAAGTGAAAATTACACAAGGGCAACTCGGGAATGTAATTCAGCTAAATGCACCGAGCAGTCTGCTGAAGTACAGTCTGCCGGTGAAGTTTGGCAACGTGGCTGGCCATAAGTGCACTAGTGGGGCCGCGCCGAATTAATTTGTTAAATGGGAATTAAATAAATGAAATGCGGTCACTCGGCGAGCAGTTTTCGGGCGGAGCAAGAGGATCTCGGAATAGTGGCGAACAATGAAGAAATCCCCCTAGAGGGTCAAGGCACCCCCTCCGTTCCGGATGAAGTGCGGCAACGTTTTCCGTACGCTGCAATTTGCACCATTAACCCACCATCGACAATGCCCAACTTCAGCTTCCGACTGCAGCTGACCAAACATCCACCTGCCCTCCCTCGTCCTGCCAGCTCTGCCCACAGGCAAACATCCTCGCTTCCTTCCTGCCCTGTTGTTGCCGGTCGCCCAACTTGCAAGCGCGAGCTTCTGCCGTGCACTCCCTGCTTTTTTGCGAGTGTGTACTTCATTTAGCAGGCGAACCCTGTCCAGAATGGGGGGCGAGCGAACGGGGGGCTTCCGGAGCACGGGGCATTCCCAGCCAGACAGTGCATCCGTGTACACGTCAGCAACGACATTATTGCCGCTGTTGCTGGGTTGTTGCAACGCCATTATAACGCCATTTCGACGACCCCACCTTGACCACCTCTGGCAACTAATTTTTTACACATTTCTCATTTTTCAACCCGCCATTATCCGCTCTTCCTTTGCAGAACGACACGATGCGCCTGCTGTACATGTACCACGCCCAGGATCCGCCGCACGGCTCGGTGCGCCCTGGCACCCTTCCGGATCCGGCCCGCGCCTTCCGCCCCTACCGCCCCATGGTCCTCATGCAGCGCGCCCAGCTGCCGATGCCCTCGCCCACGCACGACGAGCGCGTGCGAGTCCTCGAGCTGCGCAACGAGGATGTGGAGCTGCCCGCCGGCGACCTGCCGCTCTTCTGGTGCAAGATGTTCAAGCTGGAGGACATCAATCGCAAGCACCACCTGATCCGGGTAAGGGAATTCATTCGATTCGCGGCCCCAGATACCCTGTAGCAGGAAGTCCACGAAGGTCGTCACATGCACCTAAACAGCAAAAATGTTTTATTGACTTACATATTGCAAATCTCACAGAGAATCAGACCGATTAATACTTACGGTGTTATGTTGTTTGTTACTCAAACACTCTCTAATCAGACGTAAAAGTACATACAAGTGAAAAACTTAAAAGCCACTATAAATTAAATTTTTTTACCTATCATTGAAACTCTTTAAAATGTCAGCACAGCTTAATTTCTTTTTAATTCAGTCAGTTATGAACGCAACATTTATTTTACAATTATTAAACTGACTTTTCTATGACCTTAGTATATAAATTGGCAATCTGTATAGAGAAAAAGAAAGGAAAAAGCCTAGGTCGGATCTTCGAAGAGTTCCTATAAATATTTTCGCCAGGGTGCAGGACTAAACGATATTAAATACAATGCATAATTAAGGCCAAGTGCAGTGGCGCGTTCTGGCATTCCGCTTTTGTCTGCCAGTCGCTATATTCTGCATTCTGAGTTGCCGTTGTCTCTTGGCCTCGGCATAACCAAATTGAAATATTAAAAATTCATCCCCGTCTCGCGCACCCTATCTTCCCCACAAGGCACATCTCACTAACCGTTGTCTCTCGTCCTCCCCGGTTCATTTTCTTTTCATGGCTGGCAGTACGAGCCGATTTATGATTCATCGTCCAGCGTGCACTACTTGCAGCACATCACCCTGCACGAGTGCCAGGGAGCCCACGCGGAGCTCGAGGAGATGGCACGCGAGCAGGGCCGCCAGTGCCTGGGCGCCCGATCCATCCCGCTGGCGTGCAACGCCATCGTGGCCTCCTGGTCGCGCGGCAGCGAGGTAAGCATAAGCATCCGAGAACGGAATCACAACCTCCGGCCCCGATACCCCAATACCCCGATACCCCGATACCCCGATACCCCTGTGCCCGGAACACCAATACCCTCAACCATTTTCGTCATAACCATAACCATGCAATATTAATTTAACCTTCGCAAATGCTTCCTTTCAAAACGAAAAAAAGCGTCAGAGAAAAAAGTCTACACGGAGTCTCGATTACCCTAGAATATTACTAAAGATTTAAAAAAATCTGAGCCTAAGCTTCATTCTCCAAGGTATTCACTACTACCTACTGATCTAAAAGATAACCCGACTTTAAAAAGCAAAGTATATTTAAAATTTAAACTTATCTCTTACATTTTCGAATTTTCTTCGAGTCCTTAAAGTAAAGAAAATCCCATTACTGACTGTATTCATCTAAGGATCGTTCGTCATAAACATCTTACTCTTAATGTAATGCAAATTAATATGAAATAAATTCATATCTGATGACTGAAGCGTGAGCGGAAGGACTTCTCCTTACTCATTCAGAGAATGCATACTCCCAGATCTTATAGAGCATACCGAAAAAATAAATACCTTGGCCCTATTGGCCCCTGACCTCTCCGGCATGGCTCATGCTTTCGTTTTTCGAGCAGCTCGACGACTCAGGGCATGGTTTTCATAATTTCATCAGAGGAGCGCCATAATGCAGTGGCATGTTATGGCTGCTGTCCGCCCGGGGCGCTCGGCAATGCAATTGAATGGCAATGGACGAGATGGGGAAGGGCGGGGCGCGGGAACGGACGGAGGGCTCCTCCGATGGCTGCATTTAAATTGCACATGGCCATGGCATCCACTTCCGCTCGGCCCGACCCCCAACTTATATATACTCATGTGCGAGTATAAAAACAAACACTCAACATATTCCCCCGTCCCATCTGTATGTCCCTTTTTTCCGCTGTTTTTTGTCATTTTTTTGGACTTCTTTTCGCAGGGATTTACGTATCCACATGAGGCTGGCTACCCGATCGAGTCGCGACAGGCGAAATATTATTTAATGGAGACCCATTACAACAATTTGAAGCCCGACTTTGCCCAATTGCACGCCAGACAAATGGCGGATAATTCGGGTTTGAAAATCTACTTCACGCACGTCCTGCGACCCAACGATGCTGGCATACTGTCAATCGGTAAGTATGCCCCCCCACCCCTCGCAAAACAAAGGGGTTTCCATATGCATATATATAAATTGCAGCTGTGTGGGCCAACGGGTGCGAGTGCGAGGGCAGCTGCTGCCCTTTTGTATATTTTATGCGACAGGGCGGCGAGGAAGGACTTTCCATATATGTGCAACTCATGTCATGCAATTTATGAGATTGCCGAGTGGACTAGAGCGGCCACGGACGGGTGTGGAATGGCAGGTCTAACCGCATTGGTGGGGCTAGTAAAACAAAAGCTTATGACTTTACCCAGCTTGTCCAAATGCGGTTTAGAAGCGCTCGAGTGTGGGTGTTTGTATCTATGTGGATGGGTTGTCTGCAAAAACAGCCATAACAACAAACAAAAGAGATAAATCCTGGGAAGGAGCAACCAGACAGCAATTTAACTACCTTTTATCCACCATGAAAGTTTATATCGTCACAATTTTAATACGAGTACGCCTGTCAGACAATGGAAAGGCTCTACTTTTTTTCAGCCGCTCCAAATTGCTAACAAATAGATTTTAATTTTAAATTTGGCGTTTGCTGGACATAGACATACACGCATCCAAATCAAACAACTCGAAGGACTTGGCATGTGCCTGTAGTCGAAACAATAGCAGAAAGCTGAAACTTTCTAGCCAAGCAACTAAATAATTCAAAAAGCCAAAGGTTCGGTGCTGCCAGTAACAGTTCATTGTGAATAGTTGCAGCGAGGGTTTCTCCCTCACTTTTTAATATAAATTATAATTCGAATAATTATAACTTTATAATAAAAAACCAAAAGTTTAGAATCCTTAAGAATTTTAATGTCAATTGTTAATGATGACTGCGAGTATAATAAGCAATAAATCCCACATATTACAAACTCAAACCATTCTATAAAATGAAGATACATTTATTAACCAATTTCCTTGGCAGTCGTTATCTTTAACGTCCTTGAGATTCCTACGCTTTTGGCTCAATTATCATATTTCCTAGCTTATCCATCAGCAATTTACAGGCACCTCGGCGTATTTCCCTCGTATTTTCCCCACCCAATGCCTAAGCGCTTTTTGAGTACTTCTCAGCCACACTCCGTTGCACCGCCCATCTGAATCCAGCAACGACCCACGTGAACCACCTGAAATTCTTCAGGTACTCAATTTTTTTATATTCATTGTGTGGTTCGTGAGCAGGCAGAGGATAACTAAAATACTAATTTCACTTTAGAATTTATTTCTATTTTTTTCCTGCTGGTCGTGCTGGGTTCTTTCGCCTGTTTGTTTTTGGCATTTTCGGGTGGTTGTGGTGGGTGAAAGGGGGCGTGAGGGCCCTCCCACCGGCCTGTCCCTGCTGTTGTTGCTGCAATTGTTATTTCACTTTTGTTGAGAGTCACGCAAACCAATATAACTTTTCCCCAACCGCACAGAGAGACATGGCCGAAGCGCTAAATAAGAAGGTGGACAGGGGAGAGCGGGGGGCATGGACGGTTGGTAGAACTTCGTCTACTTACATTTCTTCCATCTTTTTTTTGAGTAGGTGTTGCCAAAACTTCCGGAGTAGAACGCTGAAGCACAGCGAAAAACAGAAAGAGAAGTGGATTAATACATCTTGATAGAAAAATACAATTTGGGAAAGCCGAAAACAGAGGAACATTTCGGTTTATTCCGGGGCCGATTTGAGCGGAAGGAGAAGATCCGATTCGGTGGGCTTTAGGGGCGGCAGACGGCATTTGCCATTGAAATATTTAATTGGAATTTAACGCATACCACGCACACAAACACATTTGCAGGGGCAAGTCAATAAATAAAAAATGAGGAAAGCCATAGCGAAAAATAAAACGTTGGCTACAATTTTCTCCTGGTTTGCTATAAATTGAATTACGGAGCGTACGGAATCAGTGGGGGAGGGGGTGAGGAGGGGCTAAAGCCAAAGCTCTCGGGTCCCACACGCATAAGTAGCTGCGAAATTGCTACGTTTCCGGTCTATTTCCGTCCCTCTCTCCGAGTCGTCTGTCTCGCTCACGCTGGCTGGGGCAAAATTTAATTTCAATTTAATTGGTTATTGATATAGCGCCCTGGTGTATGCAGCGAATCTGTGATTAATGTTGCGGCTTGGCGAATTTTTATGGCACCTTGGAGATGGGAGCTCGAAGATGGGGCGAAACAAATGAGGTTGGGACATGTTAAGCCTGCTTGGGGAGTGTAATCTGCAGCTCAAAGCTTATCGAAAAATGAGTGAACATCCATTGATCAGCAGAGGGTAGCAAAAGAGGAAAATTTATGATATGGTTACTACATACGGACACTTCACAGGAATATTCATTAACGAAAAATACAGAACACAAATACTTAAGCCACTTACAATTCATCTATAATTTTAAAGTTAAGTCTGATAAAATAGACTTTCATTAACTTTGATTACTTTTTTTTCAAACATTTTAAAAGCTTTTGAGGGCGTCCTGATATCAACGACAAGCTATGTTTGTACTTCGGCACTAGTAGTCCAAGAAAAGTAAAAGTTCATATAAACACTCAAGTTTATACGTGTCTTTCAATAGAAGTGCTCTCAAATATGCAGTTCATTTAATTCAGCATAAAATGAGATAGAAATACCCGATAAAGTTACTGCCACAGAATTTATTTGACCCAAAAATGCTTTTTCCAAATGTGATTACGGGGCCAAGTTTTAGTCAGCAATTGTGGTGTCGAAATATACAAATATATTGCTGATATATGTGTTGCCCATGGACGCTAATCAAATTGTTTTGCCTGCCAGGCGGGAGTCTCTGTTTTTGGGACATAAAGTGAGTGAGATGACGCTTTGACACAAATTGCCATTTAAAATAATTAGAAAAGTTGCAATCGGACATTTTTGCATTCTGCCATTTGCCGTGTGCTGGCTGTCAACATGCAACTGCCGAAACCCCTCCCCGCCGACTCCAAGCCCTGGATGGCAGCGTTAAATATCGATTTGGAAAATATGTGTAGTTATGAATTGCGAGCGAGCTTGTCCCCGCCGCGCTTTGGGCCAAATCAAATAGAAATAGAGCCAATCCCCGTCCGTCCTTCGGCCATGCCAGTGAATTTCGTCATGCTTCGCATGGCCAATATTGAATTTTGATTTAATGAATGGAAATTTGCAGAGACGCAATGCGAGGAATAGAGACAGAAATGGAATTGAAATGAATCCGAACGAATTCGAAACTCTGATGGCCAGCCATTTCACAGCGAGAGCTCTCTGTGCGCTTTGATAATATTCAAATGGACTGATCGAATTGAAAGTTAATGGAAATCAATTAAAGGATGCCCGCAAAACTTTTACCGACTCTCGTCAAAGTGTCTCCAGAAGACGATAAAACTTCTTAAATGAGAGCTTATCGTTTGGGGGAGCTCGCATGAATCGTAATTTTCAATTAAATTGATGACAGAGAATTTTAGTATCATAAAGTCCTGCCGAGCTCGCCCCCTCCTCCTCGCATGGTAGATTGATTGATTTTGTTCGCGTGACATTTTGTAAAATGACCAAAAAGTAAGAGCCCGGGAACGTCGAGGTGGTCGAGCTCAGTGGAAACTTTTTAAAGCCATCACGGCATAGTTAAACAATTTTTTGGTAATTGAATATTGATTCCCTGCTACATGACAAAGCCAAAACCCATTCGGTGGCCACTATGAAAATTAATAGAAATAATCTTCCCAACAAATATGCAGAGCAAATTTACATACATTCAAATGTATAGATATACACATATAGTTATGGATGTGGGTTGGCGGGCGTAAAATTCAATTCATTACGTAATATTCTGGCCGTTGAGGTTGTTAAATTGCAAAAAGGAAAGCACATCAGCGAGCCAAATGGATATTTTATGCAAAAGGTTTTAAAGTTAATATTTTTACGTAGGTTCAATGGAATTAAAGAGGATGAGCCGGAGCGGAAAAAGTAGCAGAATGAATGTAGGTCAGAGGTATGGGGAAGTGGAAAGTTGTAAAAAAATGGGAAACGCAATCAAAAATAATTAATGCGATTGGAAACTAATCTTAAATTGGAATATTTTATATTTAAATTGGCTTTCCTTGTGCACGCAATTGATCAAATTTCGATTAGAAAATATTTTTAAAATATAAAGTAAAATGTAAGGAAGAGACTTAGGTCGAGATGTGTCCATTCAAATAGTAAAAAGTTTCAGCTGATAGGAGATTGTTGTAATCAAGTTGTAAGGATAAAGGATTTAAACAATATTTAAGCTCAGATTTACGAGGCTGACACAGTAAGAGAATAACGCAACACCCAAAAATGGAAATCAATTGCCGGCTGAATTCAGAATTGGGCTCCTCCAGCAATGCCAAGTATTTCCCGCGAGTATTTTGATTGGCATACTATCACCCCAATCCCCCCAGCCCGCTGGCTCCCACGCACAACAATTGAAATGCCAAACAGCCGAGTAGCAGCCGGGAGAAGAGCGGCAAATTTATATGTAGCACATGAATTTCAAATATTTTTTCAGCTTGGCAGGCGACATGCGGCCCTAATTGAGTGTGGGGAGCATCGGGGAAATGGCCCGGGGGAGCCAAGGTCCTGTGTATGAACAATATTCCACAACATTTAACTAATTGAACCAACGAGGGGCAAACATTGCGCCCCAAAAATTGAAAAATACTAAATTTGATTTGTGAAGAATTTCTTGAAAAGATGGAAGGCCCCTAATTGATGTGTGGGTGGGACGGTGAGAGCCGACTGCATCGACAAAGTTGTTGAAACATCAAAAGCAGCAATTAAAATGTAATTACACGTTCTGCGACAAATCGAATTAAAAAATCAGCGTTCAAAGTTAAATAGAGTGTCGAGTGCAGGCGGGCGGTTGTGGGCGCGGAGACACACTGATGAGCGATGATAACGAGGTTGGGGTTTTCACATTCCGTGCTTTCGGGAGGGACCGCCGTTAACCATGACAGCTTTTAGCAGAGCTCCTCACTCGAACCCCGGCGAACCGTTAATTAAAAGCACCGAAACGTTTTTGAAACCAACTGAATTTCGCTCTCCGCAGGAATGGACCCCAACTGGCGACACATCATCCCGCCGGGCCAGAAGCGGGTCGTATCCGAGGGCCAGTGCATCGAGGACTGCACCGGCTACGCCTTCCCCCAGCAGGGCATCAACATATTCGCGGTGATGATGCGCACCCACCAGATCGGCAAGGAGGTTAAGCTGCGCCAGGTGAGTGCCCTTGGATACTGTACTTAAAGTGCAATGCTAATGAGCTAACCTCTGCTCCTAACCCCGTTTCCAGATTCGACAAACCGAGGAGCTGCCGCCAATTGCACACGACAGCAATATAGATGTTGCCTATCAGGACTTTCGACGTTTGCCACAATCGGTGCATTCCATGCCCGGGGATAGACTCATCGCCGAATGCATTTATGACAGTTCGTCACGAAAGGCAATTACCCTGGGTAAGTGCTCGGGGAGTAAATATACGTATATATGTGCCCAGTGTGGTACTGCACAGAAGAAGGCGCACCCCGACCCAAGCAGCCATTAAGATTGCACAAAATTCAGTAAATTGTAAAAGGCGAGGACGAAGCCTGCAGAGCAGTCCCAACATTGTCGTGAGCGAAAATGTTCTATGAAATTGCCGATGGCGCTGGGGCGTAAACAGGGGGGGTTGTGTAAACAGGCAGCGGCAACGGTGAGCAATCGTCGTTATGACACATTTAAATCAGCCAAACGATATGCGACAGGCGGCGGTCTGAGGAGCAGGAGACCGTTGCACACGAAGGCCCAAGACAAAGGCGACGGCCACTCTTTGGCAGAGGAGGAGCAGGTGGATCCTGCCGGCGAAGACAGAGCAGCCACGTCATTGTAAAATACATAAACCGAGACAGGGAAACATTTCACTTAGCTCAGGGAAGGGGAGACAGGTGCTAGGGCGGGTGCAGTGGGTGAGGGCGTGAGTGTGAGTGCATTGGGGGCGTATCCCTGCTCTGCTCCTGTTGTGACAGCTGCTCAGGACTCCAACGAAATGGACAATGCGGTACAATGGCGTAGTGGAGTCTGGATAGAGGTTGTTATTAATGAGATTGGAATAGTGGAAGATGGCAAAATGTGGAGCTGACACAACAGACAACGATAATGGAAAGAACTGATTTTGAAGGATGGAGAACTGGATAGTGAACCAACTGAAATTCAAATCGATGAGAACGAACAAATGCTTAGCAGCAATACTTATTTGTTTGGCTAGTTTAAAATTGTAAATGTGTATGAAAAGTAAAAACAAAGCTAAAAAAGTCCTTGTTTCTGTTTATTAAAAGTTTTGCAATTACAATATGTTATAAGTTTTAGTCTTACAAAGTTCATGACTGTGTCGCCAGAACCAACCATTCCACTACAGTCCCATTTTTTTCTCCGTGAAGTGGTAGAAAAAAGCACCTAACGTAAATTTGACTTTCTTGCTTGCTTGCACAAATTCAAACACAAACTACACAATTCAACCGGCGAGAAAGAAAGAAATGGGGGAGTGGGGGTTTGCGAGGCGAGTGACAAGTCTCAATAGAGACACACGGATTCTTAATAGACAATCGTAACGATGTTGCACCGTACAGAATGGAACAGAACAAGACAGATCCGTAGACAGTGAGCAAGTCAGTGAGGCGTGCGCCCGGAAAAATAAAGCGGCACCCGACTGAAACTCAAATAATGCCCGTGAAGGCAGCAAATGGTGGCCGCTTCTGTTCCCGGCCATCAGCATCAGCGCTGTCTCCATTTTGCAATATTATTATGATGGCGCCTTGGCTGTTTTACTGGGCTGCCAACTGCAGCGGCCGCTTAATTTTGTCCTTTGTTGCGAGCCAGCCAAGCCGGCTTGAGCCGGAGGACGAGGACCAGGGCCAGGACGAAGTCTTACCTGGCCAGCCAGCCAGGAAATTGTCCCCCATTTTTTGCATTCTACCGGGCTGGGCATGGGCATGGGCATGGGCTCGGGGAAAGCCTGCTTTTGTTTTTCACAGCTGCATTTCTTATGCATTTCGTCTGATTCCCTGTTCTCCCTCCTTTCGCACAGGTGGACTTACCATGAAGGAAGAAAGCTGCACGGTGCTGACACTCTACTATCCACGCCAGAAGAAGCTGACAACGTGTCACTCACTGCCGAGTCTGCCCACAGTGTTGCACTCGCTTGGCATCGAGCAACTGGCAACGTAAGTACTTCATTTTCCCCTCCGCCCCATCAAAGTTGCATGGATAGTTCTGGGTGGGCGCACTCGGGATCCGATGCCGATCCGGGGCTAATGAAAATTGACACATTCCAAATAAGAATATGTATCATGGAGAGCATGAATTTCAAAGGGAAATGGAATTCATTATGCCGAGGGTCTATCGAGCGAGATCGAATGCCGTAAGTGGCTAACAGAGGTATCAATAAGTACTTTAAAGGAATATTATTACAGTTTCGCTCGTGTGCTTTTAAAAAGATATTATCATGTGCACTAGCAAATAATTAATCGCCGAAGTAGTTTAATCCCTGAAAGATAGCACCATACTCCTCCCATCAATTAACTCGCTATTCACATTCAATTTGGATCCATTGTAGCTTCTCTTGTCCTCTTTACCTCTTCACCTCTTCCTCGTCCTGTACTCTTCATTCCGCCCACTCGACGATGTCGGGACTCGGCTTGTGTATAAGGAAATTCGGTTTATTCCTCTGTTGACTAAAGTAATTGGTGATTTAATGATGTTGTTGCATAACCAAATCACCTAACGAACTCGCAGTGGCAGCCAAAGAGAGCGACAGGATGGGGAGTAGTGGGTGGACAAGAGGTCGGGTCCTCGTTGCCGTACTCGGGTATTCTCAATTCTGAAGTATTTGCCTAACAAACAATCGGAAAATGAACTGAGCACTGCACCCAGCTCTGCTCTAATTGAGAATTGTGAATGTGGAAAAATAAATTACGAGACAGCAGCAACCCACGACCTCGCTGGAGAGACCTCGCTTTTATTTAGAAAATATTGATTTCTATTACCGTCAAGTGCTAAATAAACAGCAAACAGGACCCGTCCTGCCACCCAGCCTCTCAACCAGCCATCACTCAGCCGTCATTCAGGGTCCATTCAGGGTCCTTTAACCACCACCCCGCACTTGACTCTTCGATGGCTTCGGTGGTGCGGCCCCGTCGGTCTAGTGTAAATCAGCACGAGCCCATAAATATTGTATTAAAGCGTGCGCTGAAAATTAGTCGAAATTAAGCCAGAGTCAAGGCAAGGACGAGGCACGCCCTATTAATCACTTCGTATTGACACTGGCCAGGTCCGAGTCGAATCAAGCCAAATCAAAGATAATTTTCTTCGGTCTGCCGTAGCTCTCCACCGCAAATCAAAGTAAACGGCATAAATGGATTACGGTTAGTCTGGGCAAAAAGGTAAGGAGCGGAAAACATGGCCACGTAAATGAGTTACCAACGAGGAAGGGGCAGCTGAGGCTGCGATTACATTAAGATGAAAGGCGACGGTTGAAAGTGTTAGTTAGGTATTTGCGGCTTGATTGGTTTTGGACAAGATGGAAATGAAGGAATCCCAACCGCTGCCTTTGAAAAGGGGCAAGCAGAGGTCTTTGAAACATCCAATAAATTAAAAACCGCCGGATCCTATCATATTGCAACGCATTTCATGCCCCTAAGCCCGGACAATCGAAGCGGGCAAACACAAACCCATCATCTACTGGCTTTGTCTGCCTACAACTTTTTGTTGTAAGTGATTGTGGAGCGGAGGCCCAGGGCGCTTGCATTGGCTTTTTGTCCAGACAATGTCCACTTCATGGACTCATGGACTCATGGACCCCAAACACCGTCCTCCCATCCACCCGACGACATCTGAACTGAACTGCGTGTACCCGAAATCGACATGAATTGATAAAGTCATTTGCAATTGTCTGTCGTTATGGGACTGCCACAGCCGGAATCGGGAGGAGACGGGTTCAGGCCTTGTTTCGGGCCATCTCCGCTCGTGTTATTGTTGCCGTTGTTGTTTCACGCGCTTGTTGTTGTTTGTTTAATACATTGCCCGCCCCGCATTGTCGCTGTTCTTGCTATTGTTGTCGGTCAGTTATTATGGCCACTGCAATTTTGTAGCGCTTAATGTCCGGCTACGGGTCTGAGGTCTGAGCCCCTTTTCCGGGCCGGATCCGGGCTGAGTCTGGGTGGCTCCAGGGCCCGGGCTCCTGCAACCGAAAGTGCGAATGCGATATGCGGATTAAAATTCATAATGAAAACCCGAACGACAGCAAACGAACGAATTCAGTAGGTTGGGGACTGGAAGTGATGGAAATTCAACAGACCCAACTTTCAATGGGAGGTGGGGCGAGCCGAGGACTGCGGCTCCTATTTGTTCTATGTCTAGATCGCCCGCAGGTACCGCATGTTGTGCGCTTCAGGTTTAATTAAACAATGATAGTATACGAACACAACCGAAACAATAACATAGTTTTACTCCTGGAAAGGGAGCGCGTATATGTGGTTCAATAATAGAGTTGCCTGTGTGAACTGAAAACTTGTCAATTCTGTTCAATTTTAGGGTAACTCAACTAGCAAATTTAAAATTTCGCAAAAACTCTATCAAATAAGATTACATTAGGGTCCGCTTTCTCCTTGTTATGGTAGGCTAACAGTATGTTGTAAACTTTAAATTTACGTACGATTTCTCAGCTTAAGACTTTTTATAAGTTCACAATGACTGCGAGAAAAGGGAACCAAATATAATAACTCTTTTATCAACACATTAACATAAACGAAGTGTTTGGCCCATTTAACGGTTCTACTCATTAAATTATACTCAGCATTCTGCTACAACTACACTTCAGTAAATTGATGGTTTTTATCTTCTGGTTCACACAACACTGGCTGTATACAACCGGTGGCTCGTTCAGATTTGGCATGCCACGCTGAATGATAAGCTAATGATGCACACAGGTCATAGCCAGCAGCATCGGGCGACCAAATTGAGGCTCAATTGGTCTGCAACTAATGTAATTATAAGCCACTTGCAAATGCCAGCCGGTATCCTCCCAATCAGACGCTCCCCTCGCCCCTCCCCTCACCACCCGACTCTGACCCGGGATGCTTATTGTGGTTGAAATTCAATTTAACTTGATACGCACAGATTTTCGACGAGTGTATCAAAGGGGTTTCCAAAATTGTTTGCAGTTCAACTGTGGCCCAATTGACCAACACACAGACACACTCAGTCAGAGCGAGATGCGACACAATAACGAAAGTGGTGATGATGGACCCGGCCGGGGGGGGTGGATATAGGGGAGAATTATGGGCGCCCATCAGAAGGCAGGACCACGTTGTCGTCGTTGTCGTTGTCGTCGTCATCATGCAAAACTCATTGAAGTCGTTAGCGAGCGTCGGGGCCCAAGGACATAAAGCACACAATGCGTCCGAAAAGGGGTGGCGAATGGGGGTTGGTAGGGATGTGTGCGGGGGTGCAGTAGCAGGCAACAGGACATCGGCTGGCTGGGACCTGCAACGCAGCACAGTGAGAAACGATTCTAGAATAGTTGGCAAAGAAGTTACAACTGTGACGTTCCCTCAATTCAGGTCGTATGAATAATAACATTCTATCTTTTGTGTTTTCTTGTGACTAGGTTGTCCTGATAGAAACGGAGCTTGCTTGTTTCATTAGTCCTGCATCTAATCACCGATAATTGCGATTAGGGATAGGGCAACTTTAAAATTTTAATTGCCAAAAGATAGGATCATTTTTTTCACTTTATAATATAATATTTTAGGATTACTTACTTAATACGTTTTCTTTCGGTGGACCTGCGGAATCGCAGAGCTTCATTGATCATGCGCCCAATCGCTACCTCCTCACCGCCACATACTCGCACACGGTTCATTCCCTTTCACGAGTCCTTTGGCCAGCGCCTGATTCCTGAATCGCTCCGATGGCCGGGCCGATTGCCCCGTTATTGGCTTAATTTACGTTTTACGTTTTGGGGTTTTGTTGCCTGATTTTTCCTTGCGGCCCGACGACCATTTCGGGTGCGCTTTTTCGAGCGCCAAACGAAACGAACGCGTCGGAAAAAAGGGAAAACCAGAAAAAATAATGTGATAGTGGTTTTTACAATTTACGCACTTGCCATGGCCACTGAAATTAATTTTAATTGTACGTGCGTTTGTATCTGCCCCGCCACTGGCCTGGATCTGGTGCCGGCATTAAAATCAAAGTAATTATTCAAGTTGTGTGCATTTCCACTCCCGTTCTCTGTGTCCTCTGTTGTTTTCCCTGCCCACCCGCCTGCCTTTGTTTATTGGCGTTTTCTGTTTGTTGAGCTACGCAAATTGGCTTCATTTTATAGTGCTTGCCGTTGGGTCGCAGCTTTCGTTAATTGTTTGGGGCTGAGTGATATAGATATCCTCTTTGTGCCCAGTTTCCTCTTCCCAAAAGGGAGCCTCATTAAGGCTCATGATATCCTTTATTACTTTATGACTTCTCCTTCGCGGCTATGCCTTCATCTTTGCATATCAGATGACTTGGCTGCACACACGGAATTTTTCGGCTTTACGGCTCCCTTCGCTTTGTTATCGATACTCCTTGCGTGGCTCATCGCAATTATCCAGCGAGGCGTTTCCTTCGCAGCGCAGCCCCATCTTGTTAAGTTTATACTTTTAAGAGGCGTAAATATCAAGGCCAAATCTGGTTGATGTTGGAAAACGGCTTTAAAACTTTATTATGCTTTCTTTGATTTAATTCATCAAAAAGGCTAATTATTTTGTGCTGAATATGGTTATTTAATTATTGAATTTCTCTGTTTTTTGCAATAAAAAGCCAGCCATATGGCTTGCCAATTCAGTAAACCGTTAGTATTGGTATCAAGTGCTTTATACCTAATTAAATAATATTCCAATGTTCAGTGGAGTGTTATCAAAATTAAACCGAATATGCATTTTTAAACTTCCAATAAGCTCACCCACCCCCACTGGACAGGCCATATTTTGACCAATCGATGCCAAAATACAAAAAATTGATTTTATTAAAATCATTAAAAAAATATTAATATTGATATTTTGCACTAGCTATGATTCACTGTAATCGTGGTTAGTGTATTTATGTTCTTTTGTGGGTTTTTAACAGCCAGATTGATCTTAAATCCATTTTGCTCCCCCCGACCCTGTCCATTTTAGTTTTCATTTGTCATCAAGAACGGTCATTCGGTCGTTATGCCAATTGCAATTGCATTCGGGTTCAAAATTGAATTCTGCCCCCATGCGAACAGGAGGTTATAAATGCTCATGGACATACACTTGGATTCCACAAGAGCCACTGTACCACGCCCCCTCCGCCTCCTTTGCGGAATTGCGCCGTCGTCATAACGCTACATAAATAAACCCATTGCAAAGCGCATTGCAGTTGGAACCCGAAGTGGAATGGATGTGCATGCGGATTGGCACAAGAAGTGCAGCAGGAGCTGGAGCTGCTGCTGGAATCCATGACCATGGCCTAGAGCTGGTTCCGCTCGAAATGCATTTCAGGCTGGCATTGTGATGTGCCATTGGATTTTATAATCAACAATGCCAAACCAGTGACTCCCCAACTCCCAATCCCACTCAGAGCCCGGCATCCTTTGTCCTGCCGAATGTTGCTGCTGGCTAGTTGGCTGGATTCCTGTTGCTGCTGGGCCATCATTTTAATTATACTGAGTGCCAATGAAGTCAATGGCGATAAGGCTAAAACGCCGACGATTGATGCCGCACAGCGGGGCGTTCGAGTGGTGAGTGGGGGCGGGGCTACATCCTCTCTAGGATGTTATCCCGTTTTTACATTACCGACATCTGTGGGAGTTTCCACTGCATTTATATTTATTGTATGTGTGTGGGAGGTCACGGCAGCTTCGGTTACGGTCATGCAGGCCGGATATATTAGCAAGCGAACCTTGCACCCCGCCCTCAACTTCCCCCGACACCCATTCAATGAACCGCAAAACACCAAATGTAAAAGGGAGATGCACTGCAGATACACAGGGAGAAAAGTGCCTCGCCCAGCACGAACATCTTCAACTTGCATGAATGCAGGACTTTACATGTAGGAAATATTATGCAAGCACAAGATGCATGATACACTAAAAACTAAGTTCAAAGAAACACTCCGACTAGCAAATATAAATACCATATACATCACTTCAGGCCTCATAAGTTTAAATCTATTGCCAAAATAGCACTGCCGATTTGTTCGAGTGCACTGCACTGCCGCAAAACAGATGGACAGGGAAACGGCCGAGCCATATATTATTTTATATTATTATTATTGCGGGACGGAGGACATGGATCCGGGCCGCACGGACATGGACATGCGGGCCGACTCGCACAAGTGGCCAGCGCCATTAGAGGAGGCTGGCGGGAGGGGGGTTTTGCAATCAATCCGCAGACATTAATATTTTTCGTGTTTCCAACCGCAAATTGTTGCGGCTGTTGCAGCGGCACTTCAACCCCCTCCCCCCTGGTTTGCTCGCCGCAGGAGTCAACCCCCTGCCACCCCCGGCACCTTTCTCCATTCGGAGAGGACTATCGCAGACAACCCCCGATGCGGATTGAGTGGAATCATAAATTAATTAAAAGAGATTTGTTTGCGGCTTGCAAAGGATTCTGCCAGCCGCCAAAAACAACTCGCAGGATAGCAAGAAGAAAATGTGCGTTGCTCGCTCTGTCTCCCTTCCGCTGGCTATGTGTGTGGGCTCTATGAAATTAAAGCAACATTTTTCGTAATGCCCGGCAAAGAACAAAATTAATTAGCCTAATTGTAAGGGCGGGCGGACATGTCGAGGGGCAGACAGCTCTGAGCCAACCAAACCAAACCAAACGAAACGAAGCGAAATGAATGAATGGAGGGAATGAATGAGATGAGATGAATATATAGCAGGAATTTATATTGCACAACATCCTGACCAGTGGTGTAGCGAACAGAAGGGGTGAAGCGATGATACGGGCTTTCTTCAACAGGGAATTAAATAATAAATCCATTAAGAGCCAACTCTTCTAGGAATTCTTTTCAGCGAGTACAAAGCCGGAAATGATAAGACAATTACAAAATATGCTGCTGAAAATAATCTTTTTTCCAAAATATAAGCATGTATAAGAAATACAATTAAATAAGTTTATTAGTAGAAATTGGATTTTAACATTTTAATTGATTTATTTTGTTAGATTCTTTCCACTCGTTTTTTTCATAGTTAAAGATTGATAATAGGCTAACAAATAAATGATAATCCCAATATCTATTATATGGAAGATGAAGATTGACAAAAGGCTAAATACAATCCTTTTTTTGCCCTTCTTTAAACTACTTTACCTTTGTGACTTTCACTTTACTACTACTTATCAATGTTACATAAAAGGGTTCTTCTGCTTCATTTATCAATGTGTTCAATTCGCTCTCTGAGCTTTCTAAGGGTCTGTACCTTTTGTAAAATCGGAGCAATCTCACGGCAACTAATGACAATAAATCAGTTCAAGTCTGAGTCTAAAAAAGCCACTTCGAAGCCTTTGAAATACCATGATAAATAGGGAATCCTAAGTAAAAACAGAAATCAAATTAAACAGCCAAATTATACATATTTGTTATGGGAGAAAGACCCGGAGAAGCAGGATTGACGCAATTGAATAATCAGCAAACAAACGGAGCCACAGAAATGACTTTCCTGAGCCAATCCATTAGTCATCTCCCTTGGCTCTTCTAGTTGGGGGTTTCCAACCCCGGACTACGCCACTGATTGCCTGGCGCTGAGGTTTTACACTTTTGGCCCATTTGTTAGGTTTTTCTTCCCCTCGAGGTCTCTGCCCCGGTTCGTGTGCGGTTTTTATTTCGCTTTGGCAGACCGAAATTGTAACAACGTATTTGACGCGTCACAAATGAAAATCTAAAAGATTAATTAGCTCAAGTTTTTGTTCAGCGCGCGCCTTGCCCGACGAAAATCCGAGCGCAAATCTGCCAGGAATTACCGAGAGCAGGGAATCCTTCAGCCGGGGATCAGGACCACCCTCCCGCCTTCTCGATTCTGGGGTAAAAGTTGAAAATCTGCTGGCAAAGCGCCTTTTCGGGGTGGCAGACTTCTTCGGGACCCATGCCCATCGCACTTCGTTTTGCGAGTGTAATAAATTTTAAGTCCTAATCAAAGTTGACAATAATAATAAAGTTAATAATGTTATTTAGCGTCCTCGCCCTCTAACGCTCTCGTATCTCCGTCTTATCTTGCAGCGACTCGAACCCCGTGCTTATATCATCGCCACCCGAATTGGCCGGGATGACACTGGAGGCACGTCTGATATCCTACGACTGGGAAAATCAATTTGGCGAATTCCAGGAGGCCACACGCAAGGGCAGCTTCAAGCCCATCTGCTGGGGAGCCAAGAATCATGTGGTGCCGGTAAGTTAAAGCCAGACTTTTCGATTTATGCCCGACGATAGCGGGCGGAGCTTCAGAGCAGCGATAGCCCGAAGATGGAGTGCTCCACTTTTCCAGCAGCTAGATGGGGAATCTCCCTGTCCGCTCTGTCACAGTTGAAATCACATTAACCCTTTTTATCTATCTGGGCATCTCAATCTCGTCCTTCTTACTTCGCTCGTTCGCCCTAATCGCAGTGAACATTTCGCTCGCCCTGCTGCTTTACATCCATCAGCTTAATCAGCTAAATTGCTAGACAATATCTGGGATAATTTTTCTTGCTGCCATTTGATGGCCCCACCCCCACCTCCACCCCCACCCACACACACAGCAGCAGGACGCAGACAAGTGCTCATTTATTCATCGTGCAGGGAGGTGCAGCAGGGGAGTTAAAGCAGAAAAGACATTAGGGCCAGCCCACATCCCCACACCCCACATCCCCCATCCATCGGTTGGGGCAAAATGCGGGTAATGTCTACCGGAAACCGCACGTTATAAAGTGCAATCAATTGCATTGCGGCCATGGGCAGCGGCGTTCGTTCGAGTTTGTTAGGCGCCACTTTACGGCAGTCTGGAGCGTAGAGTGCAGAGTGGATAGTGGATAGTGGGTTTCCCTTTGGCTCGGCTGAGTCACATATATCAGGCCAACACACGTACGACTTCGACAACGATCATTCTAATGGGTCACAGTGAAGCGAGCCGGGAACAGGGCCAAGCCGGAGGACGATTCCCAGCCAGCTGGCTCTAATTCACGTCCAAAATGGTTTAGACCGACTGACTGAATGCTCCCATATGAGCATGATTCTCTCGCATTCTCTTTCTCCGCTTTTCTGGCGCTGCCTTAAATACTTTGCACTGTGGAAATTGTGGGAAATTGCTTAAGTTGGAAATTGTTGCCATTTTTATGCCACTGACTTGGCCTGGCGTTCACTTTGTGTTTTTCGCCTGTGGCTCTGACTTCGACTGTGGCTCTCGAGCAAAATTATCAACGCTTGAATTGCCATCGATTTTCCGTGCTATTGCGTTAAATGTTGTTGGCCGTTTCAGCTCGGTTCAGTTAAGTCTCTGCCACTTTTTTGCAGCTGTCCTTTAGTCAATAATTCATTGAAGAACTCACCCGGAGGCATCTCCCGGATCTCCCGCCCTCTGGCCACCCACTTGACGGACAGGCCCATCGAATTTGTAAAAACCCTTGGAGCGCCCAAATTAGCAGAAGAGCGAACAAAAAATCCCATAGTTCTGCGTGGGTGTGTGTGGGCAAAAGGTGAACGGCAGTTAAATGTAGCGGAAAATATACAGCGGCAAAAAGGTGACAAAGGAGCAGAAGAAGTCTGTGATTAGTTTTCACAAAGCTCTCAGATCCCGGGGTTCGGTGAGTCGGAAGGCCTAGTTCCTGGTCACAAAAAGATCTCAAGCTGACAAGCCGATGGGGCTCAGTGAGCAATGGGGTTGGGATTCAGCTCAACGAATTCCGGAGGCCCAACCAACTGAGAAATGCCCTGAAAACTGATTGATTGATATAAAGTTATGACCGAGGCCGAGCACCGTACAGCGCAATAAAGACTTTAGAACCAACTCCCTTATAAGCCCTCATTGTAGGTCAACTTAATTAGCATAATATAAAATATGGTAGCACACTTTTTTGGGCCTGCTTTGGCTATCAAAGCCGGCAAAGCGCAGCCCCAAAAAAGGCAAAAGCAGAGCAGAGAACCTAATTAGCATGTCAATCTCTGCACACAGACACGGGAAAATCTATGGCCTAGCTTTGGGACAGCCAGAAAATTAAGGCTAGCATGGAAAAAGAGCGAGCCATTAAAGCCCCAAATTTATGCATAAAACAAAATTGCACATTTTATGCTGTTCAACCTGAATGGCCATGGAAACAACGGCGGTGGCACAAACAAACACACATTCCTTTTCAATTAAAATGTCTGTCAGTGGCAACAAGGCGAACTCTTCTCAAGCCCACACCTGGATACGTCTGTCGAGCGCCCGTTCGCTCCTATGAAATTCCACGCCGCTTTTTTTATTTTCTGTGATCGCCCCCAAAACGGTTCACAAAATGCCTTTTCAAAAATTCAACAACCTACAACGAGGTCTGCCGTCCTCATCGTCGTGGCCGTCGCGCGATTTGCATAATATTATTAGTAAACACTCGTTATGAAGTCAGTCACGCCCACCGACCGCCGATGCCCGCCCCACACAAATGCAGACATTCGCTAGATTTAGATTTTCGACTGGGCATAAAATATTTGACCGCAGCACAAGTCCCTGGATCTCCCCTCCACCACTCGCACCTATTTATAAACACAAATTTATTCAGCGTAATTAAAACACAAAATTTCGCCAACGAATTCACTGGGGACTCCTGGAGTAAACACCGTGTGGGCGTGGGAAGAGTGAATGTTAAACCTGCTCTGAAGCTCCATTGTTTGGCAATTGTACCAGGATTTTACTTAAGCTTGGGTGCTATTTACCCTGTCGCTGTTCGTACATCTGTTTTGAAAATGTTTGGTTGAAACTGTTTCCGTGCGATCTTGATTAGAATTTATGTTTTATTCTTTTACTAATCGTATTACTTAAATTTTCTTAACAATATTTTAAATTTAAAAATGCTTTGGCTAGCTGAAGGCATCCATTTTTTTTAATCGTTACGTGAGATTTTCTAAGGACAGAGAGTTGTAACTTAAATTTTATTTATTTTAAAATTAAAATGTATAAAATAATAGCACCCTAACTGATGGTTTTTCTTATTCGTCTTGGAAAGAGTATCACGCAGACCTCGTCCCCGGCTTTCGTCCTTTCCCGCTTGTGTTGCACTGTCAACGACGGCATAAATAAGCTTTTCAATTTCCTCGCTCGCTCCGTCTCTAAAGGACAAAATCCGAAAAAGCGTTGGGAAAAGAGAATAATTTAATTAATGTCGTAATTTATTATATACAGATCCAGAGCCCAACCGCTAATGTTTGCCATTTCCGCTCTTTTTATCGCCCACAGGGCTCCGAGTTCCTCGAGGGCTACAGCATAAATGTGACCAAGACCTACAAGAAGCACCGCCGGTGCAAGCCAAAGCGCCCCTTGGCCCCGCCCACCGAGCGAACCGCTCCGCCGCCCGCCTCTGACCTCAGCGAGCTGCCGGTGCTCCACGAGCTGGACAACAACAACATCATCGAGGGAGCGGCGCGGAGCAGTCGCAGCTCGGCGACCGACGTCCACGGGCTGAGCCGCGGGAGCGGGCGCCAGTTCATCAGCTGCCTGCTCTGGCTGGGCGCCTCGTCCTGGTGGCTCCTCCTGATGCTCAGGACGTGAGGGAATTGAAGTGGACCCGGCGGCAGACAGCGCCACCAGAAGCAGCAGCAGCAGCGGCAACAGCAGCAGCGGGAAACACAGGCACCACCGTCTCAATACTCTTAACTAACCATACAGCTACAGAACAGATGGAAAATCAGTGAAAAACAAAAATAGAGTACTGAAATAGCGAACGCAACTCAACTACAGCTCTCTAACTACAAATGACATCTCTTAATCCTACTACAGATACAAATAGAAGCAGAATGAAAATGCGCAAAAGAGGACAGCATGAAAAATTCATAATAAGCTAGCGTATAACAGCTTTCCCCGTCGCCGTCCCCTCCCCCTCCCCCACCATCGTACACCTGCTGGTCCCTAACGCCCATTTATTTAAGCTCCTCCCTCCACAGTTTTGTTGATTTTGTTCTAGAGTTTTAGTAAATTATTAATGATTTTTTTAAGTAGTCTAAGCTGAAAAAAAATACAAACAAAAAAAAAAAAAAAGAACAAGCAAAACAATGTCGAGAAAAAACCGAAAAGCAATAATTAGTTGTTGTTGTCGTTATTAAATATACAAAATGCGAAAATGTAAAAGATACAGATATTATAGATATACACCATGACTACATAGATATAGAGCAGTCATTCCTTCTACCATAACGGATATAAACCATACACCTATATTTAGATATCTATGTATACATATAGGGTCTGACTTATGTAAAGCTTGAGCGTCTGATGGGTTTTGTTGGGCATTGCAAGAAACAATCGTAGAAGGGAAATGGCATCAAGTGGCAAGTAGAGGAACGCGTATCAGGCCCTTAATCCCTCCCCAGTTAAGTTTAGTCCGAGCAACTAAGTGGAACTAAGTTCGAGCGAAAAAATCATAAATACATCACACAAACACACCACAAGCATGCATAAACTTTATACGTCCATTTAAAAAGCGAATCGAGGGAGTAAGATACGAAAGAAAAGGGATTTAGTTTAACGTAATTATTATAAAAGACTTGGATGAATTAACCCTGATTTGCAAAAGACTACGAAAGGAAATGCATTGATGGCAAAAGCGATAACTAAGACTCGATTTCCATGGATTATATTATGAGAATCATGTCCTTACACAGTTTATAAATATTTTAGGCTGATTTAAAAGCAGATTGCACTTAGGGTAAAGATAAATAGGAAGGAGCATTTTTATCGCCAACAATGAAATCAAACTGCAGCTTTGAAAAATATTTTTTTTCTTTTTTATGCTGACGACACAACACTCGCGCTTTGATCCTAATTTTCATTCAGTTACCTAATGCAAATCTACCTGCTCTTTCAAATACAAAACGAAATTAAGGAAAAGAAGCATAAATATTCTATACACTCAAAGTGTTGCCTCCTCTCTTTCTTACTCGCTGTCGTTCTACTAATATCTCTACGTTTAAACACGATAGGCTATAACTTTTCTAGACCTAAGTTGTAAATATACTCCAACGGAAGGAGAACGGGAAACTAAATGCGGAATTGCAAGCCAGGAAGGACGGAAAGGCGGAGTTGAAGCATTATACAGGGTGTGTGATTAGGTACGGCTCTCGATCAGCTCTAGGCGTAGGATTGGATGTCTCACTAGGCTCTATAAATTTGGATACAGTTAGAAAGTTAGAGGACATTTAGCAATGTACGACGGCGCCGCCAAGATCTGCTCGAAGTAGTAAAAATATACCATATACATACGACATAAATATAAAGTAAATTTATATATACACATACGATAACTATACTATAAAGTCTATATATACAATACCATACATCTATAAGTAGTTACGTGGTTCGTAGTTGTAAATGTGAATGTGAGTATTTTATACAAAACAAAAGAAACGAAATAAAAAACAAATAAAGCAAAGCATGAAGCGATAACAAGAAAAACAATTTTTATACCAAAAGAACGAGAGCGAAAGATGATAAGCCCCATTAAAGCGATCGAGAGTAGTCGCATGCTATATATACAAATCATATATATTTTAGGATAACTGCTGTAACTAAGATTAGAGACAAGTTGGCGTAAGCAGAAAGCAAATGCAAAGTTGAAACAATCAAAATAACATTTAAACAAAGAGCAACATAAAAAGAAAACACTTTTTGCGCTAAACTATTAAAAGTTTGCCTCTCACACACGCACTCACACTGACAAAACTTTAACCCCGTTGGCGGAAAAAAGTGAAACTTTGCTGCAGCCAGAGGCGCGGCCTTTATATATGGGCCATCCTGTTTTTGAGGTTTTCCCACTTGTCGGCCAACTTTTTAATGGACCCCTCCCCGAAGCCCATCCCTTCCAGTTGAATGCCAGCGCCTTCAGCCGTGTTGGCAGCCCCAACTAGGTCTAATTAGGAGCGATGAGCAGCCGACATCGTTTTCATAGTTTTGGCTTTCGATTCGCCCGCTTTGTCCTTTGTCATAGCAACCTGGCCACTTTTTGCTCTGCCTATTTTTTACCTTTGTTTGGCACATTAATTAAACTTCTTGCCGGGAAAGCCAGAGAGGGGAAACTGGCAAAAACAAGGCGCACAATTACAAAGGCAAGCGGAAGGAAACTAAAACGAAAACATTCCTTCTTTGGCTCGCCAATTGGAAATTAGTTTCGCCAACTGGTGGGCAGACACAAGACAAACTAAGTCACACACAAAAACAGAGGGAAATGTATTCATATAATTTAATTAAATGCAAACAACAAAAACGGTTTTGGAAAATGTACTTGCGATAGAACGATAAAAAAGTCGGAAAATAGTTTCAAAAACTACATATACAAAGCGTAATAAAGGGGAACTAAACGAAAGCTAAACTAAAACAATCTAATTAAAGCTAAAAACAAAAATACACAATTATATTGGAGAAGCACATTGGGAAACAGAAAGATAGCCGGAGATAAAGACCAGGGGTATAGACAAAGGTGTCTAGGGAATATAAGCTGATAAAGAGCTGCAACAACCTGACCCAAAAGTCTACGCAGATTAAGCCAATGAATCGGGCTTCTTGGCCAAACTTTTTCTGGCACGACAGCAGTCCTGAGCGAAATATTTGGAGTGCAGAGCAGAGCTTTAGAGTCTGTCTGTTCTCCCCGGCTTTGGCCATTCTCAACCACTGTTGGCTCAATGCTTTGTCGGCCAAGTCCACTTGGCTCTTCTATCCGTCTATAAGCATTTAACATTTCTCCGCTCCGCTTTGACTTCGGTCTTTGTTTTTGCAGAAAAAGCGGTAGCGGAGGACCCCATTCAGAAAACTAATAAGTTTTTAAAACTGACCCAATTAGCTCGTTTAACTTGTTTCCCCATTTCGTAGAGGCCTCAAAGACACCTTTTGTTCATCCACTCAAAGGCATTTCGAGAAGCAGGCAAATACCTCCTCTGGGACCCAGATTGGAGGCTGACAAAGTGGCAAAGAAGCAAAGATGCAGACACTAAACACACATCCGCACACTCAGAGAACACTGTAGCATGTTAGTAGAATCCAGATATGTGTATATGTTCTTAGGCCCTTTATTAAACGTATTTATTTTGCGGATGAGAAAAGGCGAAAAAGTGAATGAATGGGAAAATGGAGAGAGACAAGAAACCAAAACAAAACACAACCTACCTAAAGCGATATAACAAAACCTAACTATTTTTAGTATGTACCTTGATTTTTTCAAAGCGAATGAAACCCTGAGTATATGATGCAGCGAAGTGCAGCGAGATACCCCGAGGATAACTAATATTAATAGATATATATATGAGTAATAACGTAAAAGTAAAAGCAATAATGAACAAACGCATAGCTATCAATAGGAGGTACTTGGGAGTAGGCTAAACAAATACTCTAACTCTAGGTAAAAGATAACACTAAGGCATAGGTGACGATCGATGAGTGAAACGTGTAGCATACATTTTTGGACAGCCTATTGGCGGAAACGGAAATGAACCGAGCGAAGAGAGATCGGAGTTGGAAACCGGAACGGAAATGGGAACAGGAACAGGGGCAAGCAGTACGCAAGTTAATGAACGTTATAGGAGGCAGAAATCGAATTGCATATGATTAAAACATAAAACAAAAACTATTTTAAAGTAGAGCAGTTTGCAAAAAGTATTTAAATGTGTCGTTAGAAAACCCCCAAAAATTGTAGTTGCATTGTCGTTAGCCATAGTAGCAAAGTTACATATTGAAAAGAGGACGAGGACACAGAAGCAAAAAAGAAATGGAGGAAGAAGCATACATACCATACATCAATCAAAGAGAACTAACATAGCCGGCATCTTAGTAACATCATCAGTATTTGTGTAAAAGACCTGCATAAAAAGAAATACATACAAACAGGCCTACATAGATACATAACATATGCATACAAACATATAAATATCGTAAAGTACGGATAAATATAGCTGAAACCAACCATACACAACCCCAAGCCGGCCCCAAATCAATCCCCAGAAAAAAACTTAAAACAAAGCCCGATATAAGGGTAACACCATTTGATCATAAGCTGTAGACAGAGAATTGAGATAGGCGAGAATGGAGGCAACTGTACTTGAGTAAAGGACAGCAAAAAAACACAGTTAACTCCTCCCTAATGCCAGTAAATCTCTTAACGGGCTTTCCTCTAGAGCTCTCCAGTCGCCGCCACCTGGCCCAAGCACATTTTCAGTTCGACCTAACCTCCAACTGAGCTCCACCTAACCTCAATCTGTCTAAGGATAAAGTGCAAGCGGTTGCCTCTACTCTCACAGCCAAATCAACACTCACGTATAGTCACACTCTGGACACAGTTACACGCCTTCTACACACATTTTTGATACCGAACTAATTGATAATGAGAACAGGCAGCAGGATGAGGAGAACCACAGAAGACAGGCAGACTAACATCATTTATCTATTGTGAACTACATTGTTTGATTGTGAGCTAAGTTCCGACTACTACAACCACTACTCTCTATGAATGTTTTTAAGTTATTCACTAAAATAATTTTGTAATATACTAAAACCGCAAGCTAAGCAACTTTTACTATAACAACAAATGATGAAAACCGAAAAAAATAAAAAGGAAAACAAACAATAAAATAAAATATATATTAAATATATATATATATATATATAGAAACCGACCCATGTTTTTATTGTCTTTGAGGGCCATCTGGGAAAAATGCAATTGTTATACTCTGAAAGGCTCTTTTTAGTGGCACTCCTTTCTCGCTTTTCGCATGAGTTAAAATTGGATGTTCGTGGTGTCTACAAAAGAACAAGTATTTGTACAAATACATTATTGTATGGGTAGTTATACCCACTTAAATGCCTACGAATTTATATATGCAAATTTAGTTAAATGCAAATTAATTACATAACTGCCAGTAAAAGCTGAAAACACTGCCAAATGAAAATGTTTACAAAATGCAGCAACAAAAACAGCGAGTTTGGCGACTACTCACACACGTACGCGCATACTTTAATACAAACAAGCCATACAGAAAAGCGGGTAAAAGCGAGGTAAGCCTCGAAGCAAAAATTATTTTTGCATCATTAATTTACATTTATATTCAATTAAAGCGCAAACACATTGCCAGGGGAGGCCAAAATCAGGGGGGTTCGGTGGAGGGCTTGCAATATTGCGAAATGGAAGGCGCGTGCCTTCCACGCCGCTGGGCGTGGCACTGGGCAAACAAACACACGGCAATCCGTAATGTGAAAGGAATAGTTGTCAAAGGGAAAAATCAGCATACAATCTTAATATTAGAGTTTCGCTTGAAGCAATTTACAATTTTAACAAATTGGAAAAAGGCAAAAATATATGTTTAGGCAATATAAACTTCAACTTAATTAATAATAATAATATCTGTTAAAAAACCTGTTACTGAATTTAATCAAACAAAAACACGTTTTTACGATTTTAAATACACAATTGCGATCGAATTTCTGATATCGATACGAATATTTTGTGACGAAAAGGATTAAGCAATCTCCTTTTTTTTGCAGCATGCAGCATCAAATGATTAATCATTTTTTGTCAAAAAATGTGTTATTAGAAATTTTATATGTCGGTTGTCACTGCTTTTTTACCTCGTTAAGAGGGGTTTCTTTTTATTAAAAGTTTTTTTTAATTTTTATTTTTTTTTATTTTCTTATGGGAGCTATATAATTTTATAATATTTAAATTTTACCAAATCCCAACAAACCAAAAAATTAAAAACAACAAAATTATAATTTGTTTGAATTTTTTCCGATTTATTCTATGGGACCTATATGATATAGTCGCCTGATCCGTCTCGTTCTGACTTATATACTAACTGGAAAAGTTTAAGCAGATAGCTTTAAAACTGAGGGACTAGTATGCGTAGTTACGGACGGACGGACAGATGGACAGATGGACAGACGGACAGACGGACATGGTAGAGCGACAAAAAGTTTTCTTCCAGTTGCATTTAGTATTTAACTCGGACCAGATTGGCTACTATATCACACTCCCATATGAACAACCGCGAAAAAAGGGAAATCAAATTAATCAAATAGTATTCCTCAGCAATTTCGAGAAAAAGGGATAGGGTTTAAGATGGAAAAGAGCAACCTTACACATTCGATTTAGTCTTCGGGATACATTTTCTCGAGCATAGGAATCTGCCTACAGACTATTTAAAATTGTAAATCTTAAAATCAAATTTAGCATTTAAAAAAACATTTGTAACGCCATAAATGAGGTGGGTTTATTTTTCGGTTGTGGAAAATAGAGATATAATTTGCCGTTTTTCCGACATACTAGTAGTAGAACAAACTTTTTTCGTTTCAAACTGTTTAATACCAAACCTTTTATGAGAGAACCCTAAAAAAAAGGCGCAGACAAGCAGGCAGATTCAAGTCTCAAATTGAACAAGAAAGAAAACAAACGCCTAACATAATAATAATAAGCTATAATATAAATTTAATACTTCCTTAAATTATTTTTCCGATTTTTCTATGCCAATCGTCGGATCCGGCCCAATCCGACTTATAAAATAGACTTTTGGGAATGTTTTGTAGAGATAGATTTAAAACTTAGAGATAAGCTGAAAACTAAAATTCTTTTGTGTTTTTTTTACCAACTAATCGACTTATTTACAGCTTTAAGGGCTGTCATGTCCGAATTAACCTGATAAAAAAAGCTCAAGCCAGACACAAGATTACCAAGAAATGGAACATAGGCATAAATAGCAGGAAATGCGCGAGTGTCACCTTAACAACTATTCCCTTATCCTGCGAAGGCATCAATATGCTGATCTTTACTTTACTGGTATTACTGGACAGACGCCTAAACTTTCAAGCCCATACGACTATGGTAAAAAAAAAACCGGTTTTGGCTGCTTGCTCCCAAAAATAAACTGTCCTTACACAGCAAAGTAGCTATCTGTAAAATAATTACAAGCCCTATATGGAAGTATACATTCCAGATTTAAAGTAACACCAATAAACGCGCCCTGGTACATGAGAAACAGGGGCATTAAACATTCCCAATGTGGCCGATGCACTTCAAACGAATGCAGCCAGCTATGTTCGACGCCTAACAAGTCACCCAAATGGGCCTGCCAAGCAACTCAGGATACAATCTAGGAAGAGAAGACTTAAAAGGTGCCACCCAACGGATCTCCGTTCCAGGATTATATAAAACGAAAAATAAATATTTAAATTAAAGAAAAACTTACATGTAAATATAATAAGATATAATGTAACTCTGAAGGACTAAATTTTGTTTCCCCCCAATATATAATCAGAGATGCCCCATATGTAGCAGGAAACTAGTTTAAGAAACATAACCCATTTAACAAATAAAAATGAGCTATAACAAAACAGAATATCCATGAGATATTCATCTCATATCGATATACACATCCAAGCTTGTCGCACTTAATCATTTAGCCAAGCTGCCCAAGGCAATCTCGCTTCTCGGCTCATAAACCATTTCTATTAATTAACCATTTAAAATACGCATTTGCAAATTTGCCATGGCCACTTAAACTGTGTCAACAAACAAAGAGAAATAAATGGAGAGTGAGCCAGAGCCAGAGAGAGTTTGTCAACTTTTTGACCAAGCCCTGAGCGTGTTTAAACAATTATCGCTAAAGTGCATAAAAAATATATGTATGTATAATATATGCAGCTCGAATTTGGATTCGGGGACGGGCATGTTTATTTATTTATTTATTTATTTATTCAACACGCCTTTCCAGCCAGGACGATTCATCGATTGCGGTTGATTTGGGCCCTGTGTGAAATCAGTTTAATTCCTTTTTTACTGGTTTTGCTTTGCTCGACAGTTGCAGTTATTAAAATTGCTCTGTAAAGTGATGCACGCTTATAATAATTTGCATATTAAATTATTTTCAATGGCAGGACAATGATTTTCAACATCAGCTGCGGCGACAGCAACAAACAATAAAATAGCCTCAAAGACGCAAACAAACAACTGCAAAATAAAAAACGTAAAAAATCCGAATTAAAAAGCGTTTAATGTGCCAGGGATTAAAGCTTTGGTGGGCGTCGTTGGACGGGGCGTGTCATTATTTGCGATATATAATCTGCAATCGTTTACCATTTTACCCTTACCTTTTTTGTGATCATTAAGCAATGTTTTATATTTTTACAAAAACAATATTCGATTGCATAAAAAGGGTTTTTAATGGAATTATGTGAACAAAACAACAAATTCCCCCTGTACAGAGGAAATAAGAGTTATGTGCTGGCTTGGCGAATTGCCAACAGTGCGTGGACTATACATATAAGCTCAGTCAATTCGAAAGCGTTAAATTAGAGTCGATTCAGATACTTAAATGCTCCTGAGGAGCCTCCTTAGCACAACAGAAACCAGAAAACACCCCACCCTTTCCCGTTAATATTCCGCAAACTATCGCATCTCATTTGCCTAGCACTCTTCGATCCCTTGATGAAGTTGGCACGGCAACTTTGCAGCCACATAAGTTGGCAGCTCGTAGGTGGGTCTGGTGTGTAAGGATATTCGAACCCAACACTCGAAACTCACTCAAACACTTGGCATAATGCGAGCCTAAAAGCGTGCCACATTTGTAAACCAACACTTAGTAGGGGGTGGAAACGGGGTGGAAATTATGCAGCAGGAATAGAAATAAAAAGTAAAATGCTGTCACATCCGATTCGAGTGGCAATATCAACAGGACGGACCAGGGCAAACAACACCTAAAAGAATTTCAATAATTTCCCCAGCAATTCCTGCTGACAAGTTTCGCATTTCCATGGCCATTAACCCTTTTTATGGTAGCCACGGCACACCCCTAAGAATACCTGTGCATTTAAAAGTCAAAATTTTAGCATATTTCCACAGTTTATAAGGCAAATAATGCTGAGCTGTGCATTTCTAATAGACGAAAGCCAATTTCAGCACTCTCATCATCAGCATCCATCCTCCCCCGTAGAAGTCATAAAAATCTAAATTTCAAAGCAGTCTGCCGAACATCATTGGCAGGGCGAGTGGGGCGGAGCGGAGCGGAGCATTCCGAATGTCAGAAATTTTCGACAAAAGTCTTGGGCAAGGGCCTAAGGACGAAGGGGCTCGGTGTTTAAGTGCAGCCAGGACAGCTGCAGCAGGGACACCTCGGTGACAGGCCAAGGCATGCAAAAATCTATGCCTTCTATGTCCGATGACGGGCGCTTTTCCAGCCCATCCTCGATCCACCGGGTCCCTTTATGTCTGTCTGTGGTTTTTGATTCCGACATTGCATGCCAGTCACCTGTAAGGCGGTGTGTGGGACAGCAGATGGTCGTAAAGTGCAATAATGCTTGAATTTATGCAAGTCGAGTGTAATAAAAATATGCATAATTCTGCAATAAATGATCTTAAGCAAAGCACACACGCCAAAAGCCTCTGTCTTATTTTTCCACTCACTCACCAAGGCGACCAAATGTGTCTAAAGCCTAAAGCGAAATTTTGTTTGCGGGAGTATAAAAGGTCAATTAATAAAAATAAATTATGTAATCATATACATCTTAATATTTATAATTTTTTTTATTAAGTATTTCCTTGTCCAAAAGCTTTTTTAAAAAAATAAAAACTATTTTTTTCTGATAATAAACTACTCTCCTAAAAAAAAAATTATATAATTTCTGTCGCAGTTGTGACGAACACGGTGAAGTGGATACCGATTGGTTGCATACTCTGCCTACGGGATCGGCCTAGCTCAGGGATGAGGCCAGGGGTTTGGGTTACTTCCTAATCAGCATCACCGCCACACAATAAAATTTGTAGACAGAGTTGGGAACTTAGGGAGGGGATACAGTCACTTTAAACCAATATGAAAATGAGACAGGAGACCTTGTTATTGAAGAACTGAGGTGGAATTGTTCTTCAGCTTGGCCCGCCCTTCCTGTAAAGACATTCTAATTGTGGTTGCCCTTACCCTTATACAGTGAAATCGTTCAGCTCAGGTGCCCATAAAATATAACTTTACTTCATTTTAATCGTGCTTCATTTCACACTCAAATTACTTAATTACTGTATAATTCATGTTTTTTCTTCTTATCCTTACATCCAACTTAAACCTAAGCCCTACTCCTAATCGCTCGTAATCCTAAGTGATTAAAGTTTACTTGTCAAATCTAATTACTAATTAAATAATGTGTGAATATCAAAAGAAGCAAAAAGTTAATTAAAAGGTACTATCATATAAAGAAATGTAATTAATAAGTGCGCTCGGCACTGACAACTAGCAAACTATCGCTTTCATGAAGCTAATATTCATACGTTTCTTTTTATAGAGGCATAGATTAGCTGATCGAGTTTATATGTGTACTCACGAACCAATCCCTCGAAGTCCGCAGGCCTGTAGGCTGGAGTGCTGTATGATTTGATGAGCGTGGATAAATTCAAATTATATTAGGTGATCTCGATGTACATGAGGCCAATAAATGATTAATGCTCTATGGAAAAAAGGAGTATGAGTATTGCTTCGATTCAAAGGAAATTAAAACTAAATTTTATGAATTAAATTCTACTTAATTAAATGTGCTGATACGGGCACTGCTTCCATTCGCGAATTCCATTGTTGTTGTAGTTAATCTCGAGATGACTGCTGCCGAGAGAGTCGAGGGTGCCTTTTACTTGGTCGCGTTGAGGTTATGTTCTCACGATGTTAGATGCCATACGATTCGGCGCACTTTGGCTCAGCGCAGAAAAATGAGGTTATGTTCTCATTTAGGCTCCTATTACCCAAGGTTTTAACCCGACTCCTGATACTCTGCGGCCCCAATCACGCACACGTTGCCGGTTGTCACCTGGACTCCTCGCCGACCGTTGGTCTGAGCCTGGTCCGGTTCCGCGCACGTTTAGGGACTGATCTAGGTGGGTATTTCCTATATGCCTGACCAATAAGGAATCAGATATGCGCCGCCTCCGCTGCCACCGGGACTTGCGGCCGCCGCCAGCAAATTCCGCGGCGTGGCGTGCTCCTTGCGACGAAAGTTTTGGGTCGCCGACTGCAAATCGTTGCCTACCAAGGCTTTCCCTGGCACTACCCAGACGATCGCAGGGTTTTAACCTAAAACACTGATATTATTAACCCCTCGCGGACGATATTTCGGCCGGCTCACCTGGAGTTTTAGCACAGACACACAGAGCTTCAAAATTCGGTGCGCACGCACGGGTGCTATTCCTCGACTGCTACGTCACTGACTTCACTTTGATACCCTGTGGTACTGATGAGTATTTTCCACGTGGTGGGTCTTTGGATCGCACTTGGTTCTCTTAATAAGTGTTGATTTCGTGAGAGCTTAATCGCAATAGAACAATTGGAATGAGCGGAAATGCGGTTGTCAGAGTGCAGGGTTGCCGTACTTTATCTGACAGGCGATTGAGGTGCCAGATCGTTTGTTGAGCGCGAACTGACATTGTCTTATTTAATCGATTTATTTTATCAATTTAATTTTATATAAAGATACTGAAATTTATTTTATTATTTAACTCATATCATATGCGTACCCTCACACCACTGGTTTTATCGACCTGATATTAAAGGTGATGAAAGCTGAAAAAGGGTACCTTACCAAAGATCCTTGGCATGGAAGACTCCTAACACCTTCCCGTTGTTGTCTTCGAGCAAGTATAGCGACTGGCCTCGCTTCTCTTTTATTCTGGCTTTAATTCCAACAGGAGCTAATTTGGCATTAATATGCTTAGCCTGGTTGCTTAAAACAAAATTGCTTTTTATGACTTCCTGACCCACTTCAAAAAATCGATGTCGTGACCGTAAATCATAGTCGTTTCGATTCTTCTCGTATGCTTTGGTCAATCGTTTGGCTATATCAGCTCGGATTCTCGAAAATTCGTCTGATCTACAGATATTTGCTGATCCTTCTCTTAACATCTGGATATTTCGCAGTAATTTATAATTTTTCCTTGAGTCAGCATGTGCTGGCCAAAGACTACATAGTATGGGGACTCCCCAATTGATTGGTGAATACCATTTCTCAATGCAGATTTAATACTTCCAATATAAATATCCCACAATATTTAATCTGATCGAATATATGACCTCAGGGCGGCATTAATCGAACAATTAATCCGCTACGCAAATGTGAACGTATGTTGAATTCCATGCTTTGATGTAGAGGGTGCGAAGTCCTGGCTTTTAAACTGATCGCCATTATCACAAACCAAAACCTCAAAAGTTCTGAAACACGTAAAAATATCGTCTTTTAAGTAATCGATCACTACCTTCGATGTAAACTTTTTAACGGGCTTTAGCCAAGTAAATTTGGAAAAATGGTCTAAGAGAATTAATATACCTATATTCCCGTTCCGGGTTCTTGGGAATGGACCAATAAAATCTATATAGATCCGTTGAAACGGTCTTTCACTTGTGGCTTGAAAACCCATAGGCGGTCGAAGACGTTGAGTCGGATGTTTGCACGTTTTACATATATCACAACGAGCTATATACTTTCGAACATCTGTCACCATATTTGGCCAATAGAAGTTTCTCCGAAGACGCTCGAGACATTTGCCCACACCACCATGCGAAGCTGTTGGTTGGTCATGTGCTGACTGAATCACGCCTGCTCTCAGTTCGCTTGGAACCAAAAGCTTGTAGCCGGCTTCGTCAACTTCTGAATTTCCGCTAGCGAAGCATGCCCTATAATATATATAGTTATCCACGACTCGAAATCCCGGTACGCTCGAAGTTTGAACTCGGTCTCTTAACTGACGGTAGTTATCCGATTGGAATGCTTCGGACTGCAAATCAATCTCTGGAAAGACGTCTACCTCTACAGCCATGATCTCTGTCGGATCCTCAAACGAACGTGACAGGGCGTCTGGGACGACGTTTTGACTCCCCTTGCGATGCTCAATTTCAAATACAAAGCCCTGCAGCTTAATAGCCCAACGGGCAAGTCTCCCGCTGAGGTCTGTCTGATTCATCAGCCATCGCAGGGCTGAATGATCGGTAACGACTTTAAACTTATGCCCTTCTACATACATACGAAACTTCTTGATAGCAAACACAACGGCCAGACACCTAATTCTGTAACTGTGTAGTTTCTCTGAGCTCCATTCAATTTTTGGGACATATATGCGATCGGGCGTTCGTTGCCTAGTTCATCGCATTGTGCTAAGACTGCGCCAACTCCACACAAGGATGCATCACATTGAATTATGAACGGCTTGTCATAGTCAGGATAGATTAGAAAAGGAGCAGAACAAAGCTTAGACTTGACTTCGTCAAAAGCAGTATGTGCGTCCTCATTCCATCTAAAGGTTTTTCCGCGAAGAAAATCAGTAAGTGAAACTGTTATTGCTGAATATTGGGATATGAATCGACGGTACCATCCACACATCCCCAGAAAGCGTCTTAGTTGCTGACCTTGTTCGGGTTTAATTGCAGCGTTCCTTCCCCAACGACATAACCAAGATATTCTTCTTTTCTAAGGCAAAACTGACTCTTTTTGATATTAATAGTAAGGCCTGCATGGCGTAAACGAGTCGCAACTTCTAATAGGATTTTTAAGTGATCATCGAAACTTGATGACATAACAAGAAGATCGTCCAAATAGACGAATACGTGAGACTTCAGTTGATAGGGTATGACTTGGTCCATAAGACGACACATTGTCTGAGTCCAAATGGCATACGCCTAAATTGGTATAATGGCCTATTCGGAACTGTAAATGCTGTTTTTGGCCGAGACTGGGAGTCTAAATTGATTTGCCAAAAGGCATCTTTCAAATCAATTTTTGAAATGCAGTAAGCTGGTGGAAGACGGCCTAAAAATCCATCTATATTTGGAATTGGATATGAGTCTTTTATAGTGACATCGTTTACCTTTCTAGAATCAAGACAAAACCTAACTTTATCTGGCTTCTTCAATAACTCATAATTTAACAATCCTATCGATCTTTACACAAAGAAGTTTTTCACGCGCCGGTGATAAAGGGTAATGCCACTTTTTTATCGGTTTGGCATTGCCAGTATCGATTGAATGTTCGATTAAGTTCGTAATGCCAAGACCATCCCTGTCAAATGACGGGAAGAAATCTACAACACTCTTTAGTCTGGATTTCTCCACAAGCGTTAAGTTAAGCTCAGGTAGCTCTTTTCCAAAGTTCAGTTCATTCACACTGGTTCCTACGGAAACGGAAATTCCAAATTTTTCCCAGAAGTCCATACCACAAATAACCTCTAATGTAATTGACGGTACTATTAAGAACTCCATTTCTGCCTGAATGTTATTGTAGCTAACCTGAATTGTGATAGTGCCAAGAGTGAATTGATTTGCTCCATCGGCGGTGTGCACGATGCCATGAGCCTTAGTGTAGTTATATTTTCCAGAAGCGATACAATTAGCTAATGATCCTCCGATGACGCTTTTGTTTGCTCCACTATCTAGTAAAGCTAAGTACGGATGACCGAACAGAACTAGTTTTGCAAAAGGACGTATATCATTGCTCACTTTGCTTATCGCTGATATTAGACAACTATTGTAAACTCGCTTTGTTCTCCAAAAGTCACGCAGTCTGGTTGCGGATCGACTTCTAGTTTTCCTATCTATATCGTTTGCAAATATTCTTCTCCTGATTTCGTTGTATTCTCTCAGCCGAACATGATAAGGCCTAAAAAGTTGGTTATTGTCATTGTCAGTTGACTGTTTTAAACTATCAGGGATTTCAATACTTTCAATGGTTTTATTCTTCTCCTCGTCCGAGTCTACAGTCGGGCATCCGTTCTCGGATTGGCACGGTTGTCCGCTTGGAAGTTTTCCGATTGCTGAGAACATTTTGGACACGAGGGCTTATAAATATTTAGTGCGCCACACCCGTAACAAAAGACTCGGTGAGGCTGGGGACAATCTTTAAATCAGAATTCTAGCATTTCGTTCGATTCTCGATTTTCTCGCTGAAATCTGTGGTTCGTTTTCCTGAAAGGGTTCTTCATCTACAGATATCTCATTTATGTTTCGCCTTCCACCTGGGTAACGTGGATTAAGTTTAACTCTTAAATTATTGAAGAATTCTTCATGACGATGACAGTGCCTGCGTAACGCAGCTACCGTTGGGGTTTCTATATGTAATATGTCATGTCCTACGTCAGATCTTAGGTTATTCCTAACAGCTTGAACCAAATCAGAGTCTGACATAGGCTCAGATAATGCATCTGCAATGGCTAACATTGGGTCAAGGAAATCGTCAAAACATTCATTTTTTCCCTGCTTCCTTCTACGCATCGCAACTCGGATATCCTGATCCGATCTTTGGTCTTTATATCTTTCCCTCAAACGAAAACAAAGTAGACGCCAATTCATCTGCTCAGAACTCCTTTGGCATCGCCAAAAGAAGGTTAAAGCTGGGCCTACAAACAACAAATTTGCGTACTCATACAACAGATCAAAATTTCCATTTAACGATCGACTCGTTAATGTATTTACACGGTATATGAAATCATCTACTAAAATGTCTTTTGTTGAACCCGAAAACTGAAGTTTCCAGTGGGCAATTAAGCTTGAAATTTGGTCAGGTCGGATGATATAATCCTCTCTACGATGTTCTAGTGAGGGGTTACCGGATATATTATGGTTAACGGGTAAATGACTATCAAACGGCTGACTCCGTTGTGGGCCTGCTGGAGGTAACTCAGTGTCCCATTCCAGTGATTGTCTTTGTGATGAAGGCAGGTTAAGGTTTTGCATCGCAAGACTTATCTGTTCTGATAAAGTCGAAGAAAGTCGAGTTTGGTAAGATTCTAAAGCATTCGTTATTAGTTCCTGGATTCTACCTTCTGAAATGCTATTCGCTCTTTGCGAACCTCCTGCACGTGGTGAACGCGGATGTTGCGAGTTTGCGTTTGGACGACTATTAGATGCAGTGGTGGTCGATCTTGTGGTAGGTCTGGCATTCGAACGATTTCTTGGAACTGCACCTGTTCGCGAGTTTGAAGTAGATCCGTTTTGGACTCTCGGAACTTCTAAATTAGTGTCCTGGGATTCCCGTGCACTATTATTAAGCTGCGACGGTAAACATGGGTGCCGACAAATTAGACACGTTTCATTTTGCTGTAACCAGACAGTTAAGCACGGGCGATGAAAGCGGTGTCTGCATGAGGTTTCAATATACTCAGCATTACAAATACTGCACTGCACCGACCAACGGGCAATCTCGAACTATTTTCAGGACTACGCCTTACGGACATTATTTCGTTTTCGATATTCCACAACAACAAAAGATAGCGATAGCAGTTAAATAATAATAT